ATTGCTTCCTACTGGGTATGGGCGAAGTTATCTTTATCCTGAAAGGAAAATTCTAGGAAAGGTAACCATATCCTTCATTATCCAGTCTGTGTATAATGCCAAAGTTCAGGGTTTATCTCAAGTCCTTATTCAAGTAGTCTTTGAGACTGGATCATCTCAGCTAGTCATCTCAAAATTACTCTGAACACCTTGTAGTTCAAAGCTGATCTGTAGATGATGTTTGTCAGCTTAGTGATATTATTATTGTCCACGTGGAATTGTTGTTGATGTGGGGCCCCAACTTCTTCCTGGAGACTTCAGTTGATGTTAGGCCTGGCTGTGATTTTCTGCAGAAAACCATACGCCGTTTCACTCTGTTTCCTGGGATAGATGATTTGTCCCTTTTCTTCAGTTGTCTCATTTTCAATTTTCCTCTCTGTCCTTCTGGACCTATACATTCGAGCCATCTTGCACTCTGTTTCACCTGAGATAATGTCCCAATACCTAATAGTTGAACGTTTACCTCCTGAAGAGGCCAAGTTGGATGCCAAAATTCTGGTGCAATTATGGTAACGTCTGCACCTCTGTCTACCAGACCAGACAACAAAACATCATTTATTTTTATTGATAATTTTGGTCTTTGTTCATTAATAGAAGTTTGCCAAAAAATTTTCTTTATGTTTTCTCCTGAATTTTCTATTCTCTCTGTTTCATCATCCTGACCAGCATGACTTATTCCAATAGGCATTTGGTTATTTAATTGCTCTGAGTAGGGGTTTCCTCTGTGACTGCAGGAAAGGTTTGAACTGGATTTGCTATTGGGGCCTGCATGAGGCCCCTCCGGGAGTTTCCCGAAGACTGAGGCAAAGGATTACCCTGTCTGTCCCTTGTTGATCTACATTCGTTGGTCCAGTGTTTTCCCTTACCACACCTTCTGCATACTCCAGAAGGAAGGGGCCTTCTGTTGCCATTGTTCCTTGAGGAAACATTGTTTCTAGGAATGACCTGTTTACAGTCCCTTTTCAAATGTCCTTGCCTTCCACATCCAAAACATCTAACATTCCTCAAACCTCTTAAAATTGCTTCTCCTACCCACGTATCATCATGCTCATGAGCTTCAACATTAACCGTGTCTCTAATCCAATCTTCCAAAGGTGCAGATCTTGCCTTTAATGGCCTGATTATTGTTTTGCATGCTGCATTCGCATTCTCAAAGGCCAAAGATTCAATTATTATCTTACTAGCTTCTGAATCCGGGACCATTCTCTTTACTGCTGAAGCCAGTCTTTGTAAAAAATCTGTGAAAGATTCTTTTGGGCCTTGTACAACCTTTGTAAATGACTCAGTTTTTTTCCTGGTTCCTCAACTCTGTCCCATGCATTCAAGGCTGCTGTTTGACATAAAATTAAGGTTTGGACATCATATAAACATTGTGCTGGTGCTGAAGCATATTGGCATTCTCCAAGAAGCTGATCCTGGCAGACTTGTATTCCTTTATCCCTCCACTGTTTTTCTATGTTTTTAGCTTCATCCTTGAACCAAGTTAGCCACTGAAGCCTTTGACTGGGTTCCAGAACAGCTTGTGCCAGCTCCCGCCAATCCTGTGGTACAATCCTATTATATGTTGACCAAGAGTTTAACATTTGCTTTACATATGGGGAATGCATGCCATAAGATACTATTGCCTCCTTAAACCTTCGTAAATCTAACATTTCGATTGGAGCCCAAATATTTTGTGTAGTCATTTGATCAGGCAACTGCTGTACGGTTACTGGACAAACCAAGGGTGACTGTGTGAAAACAGGCTTTCTTTCTGTAACCATATGATCCAATCTTGAAGCAACTTCACTGTTAGTTTCTTCTGTCTGAGTTTTTACAGGTGTATCAAATTTTTCTAAAGCTGTCACCCTGGCACTCAAATTGACCATCTTCTTAAATAGCAAAATAAGAATAAATATAGTAATAAAATGCATAATTCTATCAACATTAATCTTCTCATATAGCTTTTCCATTGTTAGACTGTCTAAAATTGCAAACAAAGCCCAATTTTCTTCCAATGAACACAGAAAACCCATTTTTTTTTAAATGTGGAAAAAAATTTCTCTGTTAAATAGTTTCCTTTAAAATATTGGATAACTAAGTCCTCGGAGAACAGTACAAATCCTAGGGAATTTCAAAACAGCCACCTAGTGTCCGAGGTGTGAATCCAGCTTGGCAGTTAAACGGTTTTTAACGGATTCTTGTCACGTTGGGCGCCAAATGTAGATGTAATTCAGTGGTCTTATCAGACAAGAAACACAGAGCCAATTCAGAGAAGAAAGCCAAGAGGTCAGAGCCAAGAGCCTCACCCTTCCTGATTCAGGGATCCTCCTCAGCCCAGAGAGCTCTCCGAAAAGGAGCCCTACTTCCTGTGTCTGTCTCTCTAGTCTCCTTGTTCTGGCTTCTCATTGGTTGTAAACCCAATCATGTGACTGCCTCGTCACTGCCTGCATGTACCGCCCTCCAGGCCCTTAAAGGCGTACACCACCACTGCCACGCACTTGCTATGGCTCTAATAGCTCTGACCCCAGGCAACTTTATTTATACCACCACAACCTGGTGCTAGGGAAATCCCCAGGAACCCACAAGGATGACACAATCTAAGACTCCTAGCAATAATAGAGAGGATGGCTGAACTTACCTTCCCCTATAAGCAGATTAGTGACTACCCTAATTGTCATCATAGAACCTACATCCAGTAACTGATGGAAGCAGATGCAGTGATTCACAATTAAGCACTGGGCTGAACTCCTAGACTTCAGTTGAAAAGAGGGAGGAGGGCTCACAGGAGCAAGTAAAATCAAGATCATGATTGGTAAAACCACAGAAAGAGCTGACCCAAGCTGGTAGGAGCTCATGGACTCTGGCCTGTCAGCTGGGGATCATGAATGGATCCAAACTAGACCCACTGAATGCAGGTGACAGTTATGTGGCTAGATCTGTTTGCAGAGCCCCTGACAGTGGGACCAGAACTTATCCCAGGTATGTGAAATGGCTTTTTGGAACACATTCTCTAAGGTGGGATACCTTGCTCAGCCTTGACACAGTGAGGGCCTTGGTCCTGCCTCAACTTAGTATGCCAGACTTTGTTGACTCCCCAAGGGAGACCTTACCCTCTCTGAGGAGTGGATAGGGATGGGATCAGGGGAGGTAGGAGGGTAGGAAAAGGTGAGGGGAGGACTGGGATTGGTATGTAAATTGAAAAAAAAATTTTAAAAAATAAATAAAGAAAAAATATAAAGTGGTGAAAACAATAGTGTAAGATACCAGGCATCACCCTCCAGATTTCACAAGCATGCACACATATGCAAGCACACTCAAATGCATGTGTGCACGCACATGCCTATACACCATCACTCCTCAACACAAAAAAGAAAATATAGTCTTACTATCCTAGTGGTAATTCATTCAAATTTGAAGGTAACTAACTCATGTTAACAATTAACTATCTTTGCACAGCTGTTCTCCTTTCCTCTAACACTCTATAGAAGACTCCTATACATTTTGAAGACTGTAGAAAAGATTGTGGTAGTTCTACAATATCAAGTTTTCTTCATAAAATTAGGTTGGTGCTCCATAAGTGCCTTAAATTAAATGGGCTCTAAAAAATATGTGTATAAAGTTTCTGATGAAAAAGAAAGAGGATGTTGTTCTATCAACAATTGTTAGATCAGTTATTTATGTCCATGTCCACTTTAAACTCATCAGTTGATTTCTGTTCTGGTGGAAGCTCCATCTCAGCCCCTGGCACCCTGGCATCCTGGCATCAATATACCCAAAGAATCTGGAATGTTCTGGTGGAAGATCCACCTCAAGTCCCCTTCACCGTCTCTTTCCCCAAAACCACCCCTTAAAGCCCGCTAAACATGGCTCCTCCCCAGAGATGCTCAAGACCACTCGCATAGGGTATTTAAGCTGCATCCCAGAATACAGACATGTGGTTTTCCGGTCTCTCATCCTCGTCTGCTTCCTGGGGGTCCGGAGAATCACCCGGGAATGTTTTAGTCATTAAACCGGGGCTTATTCTAATCGGTTTGATTTGGTCTGATTTGGATTGTTGCTTTGGCAGAGACCTATCACGGTGCAAAAACCTTTCAATTTCAACCTTATTTATATGGAGGGCACTAAGTTTTGCTCACTAAGGGATCCTGAAAGAAATACAGGAGACAAGCTAATCTTGAATTTCAGTTAAACAGTGAAAATTTCTGTGGGAAATTATGTCTAATATAGAATCTAAGATCTACTCAAACTAAAAAGTGCTTATTTGAAAATCAATTAGCTACACTGTTATTTTCTGCTAAGCCCTATACAAATTTTCCAGATAAATGTTTTCAAGGTTTTCTCAAAATCTTTGAATTTTTAAGTTTCTTACATGTTACAAAATTATGAGCTATGGAGTTTTTAATTGACCTTTTAATTGCTCTAGCTTTTATTTTCATTTAATACTGAACATTTACTTCAAACAAAGTACTGAGAGATTTATGAAACTATTTAGCTTAGAGAGGATCGCTTTTCACTGATAGCTCACTACTAAGTCTATTTCTACAAGTACACCAAACTGCAATATTCAAAAGACTTTTGTGTCTGCTAAAAGATGATACAGCCGGTAAAGGTGCTTGCAGCCAATCCTGACAATATGAGATCAATCTCCTTAACTCACACAAGAACTGGACTCCCTCAATTGTCATCCTACTGTACATACTCTCCGTCCACTCTTCACACGTGAATTTAATTTAGAAAAAAAAAAGAAAAGACAAAAGAAATAGTAAGCAGCACATGGAGCAGCCTCATCTCTGTCCAAGCAGAGCTCTTAAACTGCAAAAAAAAAAAAAAAAAAAAAAAAAAAAAGGAAAAGAAAAGAAAAGAAAGGAAAGAAAGAAAAGAAGAAAGAAACAAAAACAATCTGCCCTAAGATATCAAGGTAGGTGAGATACTCTTCGAAGCTTTCTGAACCTCACCAGTTACCGTAATGCACATCAATTATGTCAGGAAGCTGTTTCCGTTCTCCCATTTTGTTGATCTCCCATTTTATCTGCGACATCGTGGTGTGCTTGCTGCTTCTTGCTTCTCTGGTCTGTCGGTCTGTCGCCACTTCTCTTGAGCTTGTTGCAGTGGACTGTGAGCCTGACGGCCTTCCTGAAGTCCTAGTGGTTGCTGATTTCTTCAATTCACACCCACTACCGCAAAAATTGTTCAAAATGTCCCAAAAGGCCAACTCAGATGCCGCCGCAGAGAACTCTGAGAACAAAAGCCTGCTCAGCTGCTCGGGTGAGACTTCTGGTGCCCTGGTGGATACAGAGACAGTTTCTGATACCAAAACCAAGGGTCCAGAAATTAGTCCGACACCAAGCAGCAATGTTGCTGGCACCAGAGATAGCAGTGTTTCTGGAGGTACTGACCCTGAAAATTCTGGAAACAGTTTCCCGGGTTACAACGGTGATGAAGATGATGACGATCACAATGATGACAATGACTCCAACTGTCCTGACTTGGGGGACTCTGACAATTTTATCAGCCATGTGGAAAGCTTGTCCAGCCACCTAGAGTTGGAGGCCGGTGAGGTGGTGGAAGAGCAGGGCCTGGAAAGCCAGTTCCGCCACCATGAGTTGGAGGCTGGTGAGGTTCTGGATGAGATGGATGAAGGGTCTGAAGTACATGAACAGCCCATTGAGGACAGCAGTGAACAATGTCATATTGATAGTTTACTAGATCAATGGATGACCTTAGAGACATCTCCTCTCCCGAGACCTCGATGGAAAGTCCTTAATGCCCTTCGCGATAGACAGCTCGGTTCAAGTGCCCGCTTTGTGTATGAGGCCTGTGGGGCAAGAGTATTTGTGCAGCGTTTCTCGATACACTATATTTATCAAGGCCATACCAGATGTGTCAACACTGTGCATTTTAACCAACATGGCACCTTGCTGGCTAGTGGCAGTGATGACCTAAAAGTGTACCTGTGGGACTGGCTTCATGAGCAACCAGTACTGAACTTTGGTAGTGGCCACAAAAGTAATATCTTACAGGCTAAATTCCTTCCTAATTGTAATGATGCTGTCTTGGCCTTGTGTGGCCGTGATGGGCAGGTACGCATTGCACAGTTGTCTGCTCTGCCAGGCACCCAGATGACTAAACGTTTGGTGAAGCATGAGTCAGCATCTCATAGATTGGCTTTGGAGCCAGACTCCCCTTTCAGATTCTTAACTTCAGGTGAAGATGCAGTTGTTTTCAATACTGACCTCAGACAAACCCACCCAGCTTCAAAAGTGGTGGTAACCAAAGAATATGATAAGAAAGTGGGACTCTATACGGTCTTTGTGAATCTTTCCAGTTTCTACCAGTTTGCCGTAGGTGGCCAAGATCAGTTTGTAGGAATTTATGAAAAAAGGAAAATTGATGAGAATGTCAACAATGGAGTTTTCAAAAAATTCTGCCCTCTTCACCTTCGAAGCTGTAATTATCCAGCATATATCACCTCTGTGATGTACAGTTATGATGGCACAGAGCTCCTGGCTAGCTATAATGATGAAGATATTTACATCTTCAACTCTTCTGATAGCAATGGAGCTGAATATGTTAAGAGATATAAAGGACACAGAAATAATGCCACAGTGAAAGGGGTAAATTTCTATGGCCCCAGAAGTGAATTTGTGATGAGAGGTAGTGATTGCGGGCACATCTTCATCTGGGAAAAATCGTCCTGCCAGATAGTTCAGTTCTTGGAGGCAGATGAAGGAGGAACAATAAACTGTATTGATCCTCATCCTTACCTATCTGTGCTGGCATCCAGTGGCCTAGACCAGGAGGTCAAGATTTGGGCACCCGTAGCTAAATCTTCCACAAAGCTTACTGGGTTAAAAAAAATGTACTTAATAAGCAGAAACGAGATAGTCTTAGCTTACACCACACTTACCTTTTTGACAACCACGTGCTTTGGTTCCTCATGAATCGTATGACACAGACAAATTGGAGAGGAATTAGAATTGAAATTGGAGGAGCAGATATCAGTGACTCTTCCTCTGAGGAGGAAGAAAATTCCTAAGCAACGTCCTGAGGCACCACCAGGAGTTGGCTACCACTTCAGTACATGGGACTTGAAAAAGAAAAACACCTCAGCTTGAGTAGTAGGTTTTTGTTTGCCTTCTGTTTGCAGTATTTATAAGAGTATTGCTTTCTCTCCACCTTTTCTTTTTTTCCCTTTCCTACTACCTGGTTTTGTTACTCCAGGTAATAAATATTAATTAATATTACACGATTATAGAAGTATAATAAGCTTCCTTTCTCCTCTCACAGTTAACTAAGGAATTGCCTGAACTTGGTGAAAAATTAATAGTTTTCTAAGATCTTATCTCTGTTCCCAAAAAGTGGTTGGATTTTTTTTAAAGCATTCAGTAGTTTAATTATGAATATTAAAGTTTTTTATTGTAAAAATTTAAGAAATATTTGTGCTCTAAAGTAAAGTAAAATAAGACAAACCATGGTTTTGTGTTTTTACTTCAAAAACTTGGTCATACACACACCATACACTTCTTTGACTTTTTTCCACAAAAAAGGAAAAGAGGATAAAACAGTTTTGTTCCTAAACAGATAAGGAACTGTCTAACTTTGGTTTATTCACATTTCTGAACCCACATTAATAATATGGAATTATTTAAGCTGTAACAAAATTAGATGTAATCACTAAGTTGTTTAATCAACCCTATCAGTGTTTTTGAGATGTCATGGTTGAAAAAAACTACAGGATGACCTTCCAAAAAGTCCTCCTGGGTTAATCTTTTCCTACAAGTTGCTCACTAAATTTTAATAATTCCTTTATGTTGAAGCTATAACAACTGCAATAACAGATGCTTTTTATTTTTATAAAACAATTTAATAAAACTATCAGAAAAATGCTTTTAGTAGCTGAAGGTATGGGACAGTGGGCTGAGAGCACTGGTTGCTTTTCCAAAGGACTCAGGTTCCAGTCAGTCACATTACGCACATGGTGGCTCACAGCTGGCTGTAACTCCACTTCCAGAGGATTCAACACCCTCTTCTGGCCTCCAAGGGCATTAGGCCTGCACATAGTGCACAGACACACATTTAGACAAAAAGAAAAGTAGATATTTTTTAAAGAAATGAAAATGTTTTTAGGCATCCATGTAGTGTTTAAAACTATATTAGCTGGGCGGCAGTGGCACACGCCTTTAATCCCAGCACTCAGGAGGCAGAGCCAGGCAGATCTCTGTGAGTTCATGGCCACCCTGGTCTAAACAGTGAGATCCAGGACAGGCACCAAAACTACACAGAGAAACCCTGTCTTGAAAAACCAAAAAAGAAAAAAAAAAACCTGTATTTTAGGAAAAATTAAAGTTTCTTTGGATGTTTTCATTGGAAGATGGTTTAGAAGAGCTATGCCATGCTGTTTGATTCAAAATGCAATTTTAATTATAGTTTTAACTATTTTGGTGGTTTTTTGAGACAGGGTTTTTCTGTATAACATTTTACATTATTTCTCTCAGTCATTAGCACTCTGTTTATCTCTAGTACTATTCTATGAACATTCATTCCCAGAAATATACTGTCCTACATATAAGCAAACATAATTTCTCACTTGTTCTTCACAGAAAACTTGTTTAAATGGAAAAAGAAAACAAATTCATAGACTCTAAATGGACTCTCTAAAATTATTTAACTGAGAAGGGGCTCAAATAGAATTTAACACTAAACTAATATTTAAATCTAAAATTACATTTAAATGGGCTGGAGTAGTGTCTCAGCAGTTAAGTTCATTGGCTTCTCTTCCTGGGAACATTGACTTAATTCCCAGCACCCACAGGACAACACTCAACCATCCCTAACTCCAGACCCAGGGGATCTGATGCCCTCTTCTGGCCTCTGAGTGCCCTGCATATATGTGTTGCATGGGCAAAACACTCAGACACACAAAATAATATTTAGAAAAAAAAGTTATTTTTAAGTAATTAAAAGCTGTTAATTATCAAAATATTCAAGGGAAAATATTTAATTCTTGTAGCCATCATAGCACTGGTAATTTACCATACCAGTATATATCGAAATGGTGTGTAAAATATAAGCCAAAGAAGGTAGATCAGTTGCTAAAGTGCTTGCTTACTTTGAAGGCATGGGAACCTAAATTGACACCAGAACCCACATGAAAACTAGATATTTTGGCATGTGCTGCTTCTGCTGAGGGGGTTGGGGGACAAAGAAAGGAGGATTCCTGGCCATACAGTCTAGCTTAATCTGCAAGCCCCCAAATTCAGTGAAAAACCCTTTGGCAATAGAATTACACCCATTTGATCCTCTCCTCCAGGAACTCATGCACACATGCACACAAACATACATACTAACACTTAGCAAAATAGTAGCCTCAATTAAGGGAACACAGATATGTTTTCAGGGAGAAAGTTAAAATCTAATAGCATCATTTTTGTTGGAGCACACCTAGATTTCCTAGTATCTTTACCCAGCAGGTCTGCATAAAGAGGATGATTGGACCATGAGCCTGAGTGCAGGTGTCTGAGATGGTTTGCACTTGGCTGTGCTGGGGGGAGGTGTTTTGCTCCACCCCTTTGTGGTTGATATATTATGTACCCCAGTAAGCTTATCTGGGGATCAGAGAACATAACAGCCACTATATTAAACAGAGAGGTTAGGCTGTGGTAGCACATGTCTTTAATACTAGCATTCCGGAGGCATAGATCCACCCGGATCTCTGTGAGTTCAAAGCCACACTGGAAACAGCCAGGCATGGTGACACACAACATTAATCTCAGGAAGTGATGGCAGGAAGCAGAAAGGTATGTAAGATGTGAGGACCAGGAACTAGTGTCTTTTAAGCTTTTAGCTTTCAGCAGCAGTTCAACTGAGATCCATTCGGATGAGGACACAGAGGCTTCCAGTTTGAGGAAACGAGATCACCTGAGGAATTGGAGAGGCAAGGTTGACTGTGGCTTATTCTGTTTCTCTGACCTTTCAGCATTCACCCCAATAGCTGGCTCTTTTATTTTTTATTAATAAGACCATAGTGTTAGGATATTATTAAGATGGACAGACTCTTGTCTACCTATGCTAATATAGTAAGCTGGGTTATACTGTAACCTCACTGTCACAGGCACCTTCACAATCTTTGGGATGCACCATGGCTTATCTAGTTCTGTGATAAAAGCCCAAACCCCATCCTTTCCAACTGAAATATAGACATCTGCCTGGTGTTAGAGCATTCTAAATTCCCATTGTACATGTTGCAGAAATTAAATCTTTGAGAAATCAAACACCACTCTGAGAGTTGGATGACTCTGGCCTATTAGTCTGGCAGGCCTAGGCGAGCTCTTAATATGAAAGCCTGGATCCCAATCTGGTTTCTTACAAGATTTATAGGACGTTGATCATAATCGTTTTGACCTTTTCTGTTATTTGTGGATTAGAATTTCAGCCTACATAACCAAGGACTGTAAGGTAAAAAGGCCAGCCAAAGAAACCCACCCTGACCCTGAAACCAGAACCAGTGAAAGAAACCCACCCTGGCCCTGGAACCAGAGCCAGTGAAAGAAACACTTTGGCCCTGAAACTAGAACCAAAGAAATACACTCTGAACCTGAAACCAGAGCCAAAGAAACACACTTTGGCCCTGGAACCAGAGCCAGTGAAAGAAATACACCCTGGCCCTAAACTAGAGCCAAAAGGTTAAAACGGGCCAGTGATAAAATCAACACACTTTGGCCCTGAAACCAGAGCCAAATCTGCTCCTGACCCAATGAGCATGAAACCAACCAATCCCTGAGCAGGAAAACCAACCAATCCCTGAACAGAAAACCAACAAATGCCCAAGCACAAAGTCTAACTGATGTTAGAACAGTATTTTACAAGTGTCTGTTTCTCAAGCAAAGAGGAGTTGTAGCTGTTTCAAGAGAGAAGCAGGATTACAAAGCAGAACACAGAATGTGCTGTTTTAGCTGTAAGTGGAGCAACATACTAACGCATGTTTATCCTCCTCACCATAGATACAACCCTGACAATAGCTATGATACCCAAGTCTGGGTACTTTGGACACCAAGTCTGGAATTTAGCCATGTGTGTTGCTAGAGTTTTCCTACCTGACCCACAGTCAGGACAAATCTCTCTCACCCGCCAGTCCCAAGCCGCTCAAACCCGATCAAGTAAACACAGAGACTTATATTGGTTACAAACTGTATGGCCGTGGCAGGCTTCTTGCTAACTGTTCTTACAGCTTAAATTAATCCATTTCCATTAATCTATACCTTGCCACGTGGCTTGTGGCTTACCGGTACTTTACATCTTCCTTATCCTGATGGCGGCTGGCAGTGTCTCTCCACTCAGCCTTCCACTTCCCAGCTCTATTCTCCTCCTTGTCCCGCCTATACTTCCTGCCTGGCCACGGACCAATCAGTGATTTATTTACTGACCAATCAGCAACACATTTGACATACAGACCATCCCACAGCACATGTGTCACCTGATTCTCACAGACATTCAACCTATACGAACCTAAGAGTAGGTCGGGTGTACCTCAGGCCCACTCCAAGTCTGCAACTAATTTGAATGAAGCTCCTATCACCAGCACAATGGTCTCAGGCTTGTGCCATAGTAAGCTGTCTAACCTGGTACAGTTCTTGTGGCTCAGACCACAGTATTGGCCTCACAGTAAGCATCATGGAACTGTTCCCAGCATTAGGGTTCCTCATGAGAAGCCTGAAGTGTGTTGCATATCTCAGGCTTGGACTGAATTTTCTCTTTCATTCCTCAGGGCTGCCCTCTCAAAACTGGGCTACTCAGAACTGTGGGAAAAGAGAGTTAGGGAACACTTTCCTTCTTGAATTCAACTATTTTTTTTTTAATTTTGTTGAACTAAAAACAGTCACCATAGTCTCTCATTTTATTTCCTTAGTTCTTGTGAAGGTATTTTGGGGTATGAATTGATGTTTTATATGCTGTATCTGTGGGGAAGGATTTATGGAAGAACTTAGCCACTATTATGTTACATATCCTTTTCTTAATGGAATGCTATTGATCTGTAAG